TGTTTTGTTTTGTTGGTTTAAAAAATAAAAATATATAGAAAGAAAAAAAAATGATAGACTTAAATCTTAAGAAATAAGCACAGCTGCTCATACATTTTGGAGCGATACAAATCCTGCCTTCCATGTAAAATATTTTTAAAGCATTGTTAATGATGTTGGAGACTTCCCAAATTTGGGCTGGATTAGAAAACCTCTAAAGATTCTTTCCAACCCTGTGATTCAGAGATGTCAACAGGTGGTAAACTACAGCTTTCATCAGCCCAAATCCAATTTGGCTACTGGCTATGTTGGCTAGGTTTAGAATTTCTACCCAAATACATTTGGATGACATCAAATTGAGAAAGTCTATGCTGTTTATTTTTTAATGCAATCAAACCACAAAATCACCCTCTGGGCAGAAGTTAGACTTACAACTGCTTGAATGTAGCTGGGCATTTTTCTTGACTAAGGGAGCAGTGCTATCTTAAAAAGTTACTTTTTGATCACTTCACAGCCAGGTTCAACTTCATTGTTTAAATGTCAAGTAATGCATTGCTTGGGGCACAACATCCTAAATGGGTTGACTTAAAAAGGGAAGTCCTTATACTTAAGGAACTCATTTTCAAACTATAGCAGGCCTACTTAAATCCAGAGTTCTTAATTCTGTTCCGCTGCAGGTGGGCACTTCCCAGTATAGGAAAGACATGTTTGGTTTATATGGAGCTGAAAAATTGGAACAAACCCAAAGACAGAGATCAGGTGTATGAACTGGGCTTGTTGAATCCATATCACAACAGATGCTTTTTCAAACTCCAGCCAGAAATATGCTCTTATTTCATATTTTCTTCTTGTGCCATATCCATTATCGGACATTGGCGATCATGTTGGCGATCCTGTTTTTATCAGCAGCCGCACGGAAAAGTGCTGCTGAGTTTTGTCCAAACCAGTCCCTTAGATTTTGAAGCCACAATGTTCTTCTTCTGCCTGGACCTCGTTTGCCTTCAATCTTTCCCTGGAGGATTAAATGGAGTATGCCGTATTTTTCTGGGTGTCACATCACATGTCTGAAATATTCTAACTTTCGTTTTTTAATTGTTTTGATGAGTTTCCTTGGCTTTCCCATGCGGCTTATCACCTCCTCATTTCTGATCTTGTCAATCCAGTTTATACGTAACAGCTGCCTGTAAATCCACATTTCAAATGCTTCTAGTCTCTTCAGGTGGCCTTCTGTCAGAGACCAACTCTCTACTCCATAATGCAGGATAGAAAAAATATAGCATCTGACAAGCTTGATTTTCAGTCTTAGGCTTATGTCGTGACTGCAGAAGATCTTTTTCATTTTGAAGAATGCTGTTCGAGCTTTCTCTATCCTTGTCTTTACTTCAGTGGTCATGTCCCAGCTTTCGTGTAAATTAGAACCGAGGTGCGTGATATTCTTTACTGCTTTTTATAGAATTATAAGGGTTGGAAATGACATTATAGATGATCTAACCTCCTACGCACTAAAAAAATCCACTATAACAGCGTTCCCAAGGAATGGCCACCTAGCCTTTATTTAAACTCCTTCAACGAAGAAGAGTCTATTACCTACTGATAAAGTTAATTCCATTGTTTTTAATTAGGATTTTCCTCCTTGATATCCAATTAAAATATATTTTTCCTGTAATATAACTTCTATCTCCTAGAACAAGTCTAAACAAGTCTCCCTCATTTTATATGAGATGGCCATTCAAATACCTGAAGATCGCATTGTGTCTCTTTTCACAGTCCCCTCCTCTCCAGATAAACATACCCAATAGCTCCAACCGTTTTTCATAAATTCACCTCTCCAAGCTTCTGACCATCTGGTTGCTTCTCTCTGGGCATTTTTCTCAATGTCTTTCTCCAAACATGGTGCCAGGTGTGATCTGACCGATGAAAAATAGGGAGGAAAACGATCTGTCTTGATCTTGACCTTATGTTTCTGTCAATGCAGCACCAGACTACATTTTCTGCATTTGAATCACACGGTTAGCTCACTTTCAATTCATAAGCCACCAAAATATTCAAATCTTTTTTTACAAGTAGGGTCTCCACCCCCCCCACCCCGCTATTCCCAATTCTATGCTCATTGCATCAATTTTTCCTACCCAATATAGGAATTTTTTTTCATTCGTTGTTAACATTCATCTTCATTTCTGCTTATTATTGCAACTTGCAACCAAGGTAGATGGGCAGTTAAGAAATACGATAGATAGATAGATAGATAGATAGATAGATAGATAGATAGATAGATAGATAGATAGATAGATAGATAGATAGATAGATAGATAGATAGATGATAGATAGATAGATAGATAGATAGATAGATAGATAGATAGATAGATAGATAGATAGATAAATGTTATCAAGAGCCCTTTGAGTTTTGAAGCTATCCTTTAATATGTCACTTATCTCCTTTATACTATCTCATCTACAGATTTAGTATTTTATAATCCTTCCTTCAACTCATGGATCAATATTTTGAAAGGCACGGGGTTGGGATTAGGTTGTATTCACGTATCTTGCCTAACTATATCTATTCGACAACAATAATGGTGTGTTTCACACATGGTATTTAACTTGGTTGACATTTAAAATTTCTTTTTCTTTTTTTTAATATTTTATTAATTTTCTATTATTACAATTCATTACTGACCTTAGACTCCTAGTGGATGATACCTACTATGAGCAGCAGTGTGCAGCAGCAGACAAAAAAGCTAATACAATCTGGGTTTGTATAAACAGAGGCATAGAATTAAGATCACGTGAAGTATTAGTACCGCTTTATAAAACCCTAGTAAGACCACACCTAGAATACTGCAGCCAATTTTGGTCACCATATCACAAAAAAAGATATTGAGAGTTTGGAAAAAATTCAGAGAACAGCAACTAAGATGTTCCAAGGGCTGGAGACTAAAATATAAGAAGAACGGCTGCAGGACTTGGGTTTGGCTAGTCTAAAGAAAAGAAGAAATAGGGGAGACATGATAGCAGTGTTCCAGTATTTGAGGGGCTGCCACAAAGAAGAGGGGGTCACATTATTCTGCAAAGCACCAGAGGGCAGGACAAGAAACAATGGTTGGAAACTGATCAAAGAGAGA